TATAATTAAGGTATAGATATACATTCCTAACAGTTTTCATACTTTTCAATCTCACCTACAATATTGGTTTTGCTACTCTTAACCCCTCTTCTTCTCATTTCACTCATTTCCAGCAATTTGGGCTCACAAAAATCTCTCCTTTCGTCGTTTTCTCTTAAGTCACTCGAGTTTTTAAGCTCGCTCTCTTTGAGTTCTTCCGCAAATGTCAACGGTTACACCAGTACGAAATCATGGAGCTCAAGACATGATTGTGAAGTAGTAAGTGTAGAGCTCGCTCATTCGTGCTCTAGGAGTTTTTGCTACATATTAAGCTGATTAAGGTTCTGTTTGTACAAGAATGCTCAGGACAAAGAGGCACTACTTAAGCAAGAGCTATCAAGTGCAGAAATGAGGGGATTTGTGTCGAGTGGAATACGAAGAAAATATAGTAGGCGGGAAAAAACCGAGGCCCTCCTAGCTAAATCGCGATTTCTTATTCGTGAGGCTGCCAAAACCAAAAGCTTAAGCTCTTCTCAAGTCGAACAATATCCCAATATTGTGCCTCATGGGCCTATCTACCGTAATGCCAATGCTTTCTACCGGTATGCATATATATAACTCGGTGCCTACATTTTTCTTGCATATTTTCTTGATAATTTTCCGATACGTAAAATTTCCAATTGCTAGGAGCTACTTGGAAATGGAAAGAGTGTTCAAGATTTATGTGTATGAAGAAGGAGAAGCTCCGGTATTCCACGACGGCCCGTGTAGGAGCATATACTCCACCGAAGGAAGATTCATTCACGAAATCGAGAAAGGGGAGCATTATCGAACGTATGACCCGAACGAGGCCCACATTTTTTTCATGCCGTTTAGTGTAGTCATGATGGTTCGTTATATCTATGAGTCGGGCTCGCCGGACATGACTCCCGTTGCCAACACGGTTGCCGATTATGCCGACACGATAGCCCATCGACACCCCTTTTGGAATCGAAGCCTTGGCGCCGATCATTTCATGCTTTCTTGCCATGATTGGGTAAAATTTCGAGCAAAAAACTCTGTTTCTAGCAAGATCGGTTTTTATAGTCTAAAAGGGGTTCAATTTTTTATTTTTTTTTGCTTTGCATAGGGGCCTTACTCGAGTTCATACTCACCATTCTTGTTCAACAACTCCATAAGAGTATTGTGCAATGCCAACACATCAGAAGGCTTCAACCCTTTAAAAGACGTCACGCTTCCCGAGATCAACCTCAAGACGGGC